GTGTGAACATCTTTTAATCTTGAAAATTTATGTTAAACTTGATTTATCCGATGCTACGTATAGTTGGACTTTTTTTTTAATGAAACGTTATGAATTATTTTCCGTGGACCTTGGCATGCTGATTCCAAATCTGATCGCAAAATGTTGGCTCTCGCCTCAGGATTTTGAACAAAAATCAGCGACTTATTAAATCATTTAATTCAAGTCCTAGCATGAGCTTGCTTGAACGAAAAGAAAACTAGTTATCTCAGCATTATTTCTGTATTAGAGCAATAAGACTGTTCTATTTTTTTTTTTACATTCATAAAAGAAGAATGCATTTAATCTAATCGCTGTGATTGCCACTATCATGGTTGATGGAACACCGGAATTAACGTCATATTACATTGAATTAACCCTTCCCCTCGCCTGCTCGCACTCTGAGTTTTGCAAGAAATTATGTAAAATGGGTCGGTTCGTCTTTTGTAACATTGCATTTTGAGAAATAAAATTAAACATAAATAATATTCTAATATAATAATATAATATAATATTATATATAATAATAATAATAATAATATATAATATATAATATAATATATAATAATTTAATATATAATATATAATAATAATATAATAATATAATATATAATAATATACATAATAATAATAATAATAATATATTATATATATAATAATATAATATAATAATAATAATTGACGCTCAGATTGTGCACAAAAATGAACAATTTGGGATCCGTCTTTTACACATTCAATTTTCTTTGCATACTTCTTGCAATAAAAAGTTAATTGTGCTTGAAAATAAACCGAAGGCACCGTAATTGGCTACCTCCGGTAACTAACTCCACTGCCGTATGTCCAATAAAGCAAAGTTGTTGGAGAAATTCCCCGATATGAATGTAACTTTATAATTTCAATAATGATAAAAGTTAAAGGATTTTCCTCCAAGAAATTATCAAAGACGAGTAAATTGTAACGAAGCTGTAGCAATAAGGAAAACGGCCGATCCACGATATCCTGTATTCCTCTCGAACAAACGTGTTCCAGTGGAGGAATTAAATTTTATAAAATCCCCGGCGATCGGCTGCGGAGTTGCCGGCATATCTAGCCTAACTAACTAAAGATAACATAATGTCGAGGTAATCGGCCTCGCGATTGATAACGCGAATGAAGCCTCGAAGGCAAGCTTCCCTCGGGGAAACTTGCCTGCGCGCGGAATGTCGCGATTCCACGTTTGCTCCGATTAAAAGTCAGCTTTTTGCGAGCGTCTAACAGGAAACCGAACACGCTTAACGACCGAATGGCACTCGTTCGGAACGATATAGGGAATATAACGTGTGCAGTCCATCGTGGCATCTTAACCTTTTAGGCACGACTCGCTACTATAGTGGCTTTCGCGGATGTCATCTCTCTGGACGACGCGCCACTATAGTGGCTTGCTCTAGTAGCTCACTCGCTCATCGTTTGAACCAAATAATCGTCTTCATATGCATCGTTTCACACTTCTTTTGTCTTCGCATCGATTTACAACAGTCTACAGGGTGCCCCAAAAATGTCTCGCAATCCGGAAATGGCGGGTTCCTCGGATCATTTGAAGCAACTTCTTCCTTTACAAAAATGTTCTCCGAGGCACCGTTAACGAGTTATTAACGAAAAACAGTGACCAATAAGAATCGAGTACGGCTGACGCGAGACGGCCCAGCCAACCAGCGCGCGAAGCCCAGTTCCGCTCATTGGCTCGATCGCCTCGCGCCAGCCGAGCTCGCCTCTCATTGGTCACTGTTTTTCGTTGATAACTCGTTAACGGTGCCTCGGAGAAAATTTTTGTAAAGGAAAAAGTTGCTTAAAATGGCCCGAGGAACCCGCCACTTTCGGATTGCGAGACA